ACTGTCATCCAGAGACAGACAGGTCCACTCTGGTTTAAAGAGAAATGTCCTTCTTGGGCTGCCCCTTCTTGATAAAACCCAAATTGTGGAACTCTTTCTCCTTTCCATTTATTGACATTTTCCTGTGGCAAATCTTGTTCTATGTGGAGTTTGACCTTGAGGAGCCCCAAGGATTTCAATCAAGTGTTGATGGGCGACACAGCATCAAGTTCCCTGCTCAGGGACACGCGCATCTAACGGGCAACAGGCCTTTACGAGAGGGACCCGCAGGCAGCACCTGAACGGGCGAGGCTGGGGGCTCATGGGCCAGCCCCTGCTGACAGCGCCTGAGGACACTGACCACAGTGCACACCTGCCTGGCACTCAGTTTCCACGGAATCTGTGTAAACTCACGGCACTTGTCCTAACTCCCCCTGGGGAAGGTACGGTAACTTGTCCCTGTTTTGAAGGTGAAGATGAAGTTGAAAGTTGGAGGGGGCCTTATGGATCCAACTGTCCAGTTTCTTCACTTTACAGGTCAGAAAAGTGCCCCCCAAAGAAAGAGGCCTGCCAAGAGCACACAGCCAATTGGGAACACAGCTGGACCGAAGCCCAGGTCTCCTGAGTCCCAGCTCAGTGCCATTATATCCATCTGTCCATCCATCCATCCATCCATCCATCCATCCATCCATCCATCCATCCATCCAGACACACTCTGAGCATCTCCTATGAGCCCAGTTCTGTGGGGCCCAGCAACATGGCACCAAACTGACCACCACAGACCAGCTGAGCTACTTTTGTGCTTTGCCCCAGGCGGGCGGCAGTGTTTAGCCTCTTTCAAGCCATGACACATTACCAGCAACATGCACATGTATGATGAGCTCTCTGGACATATCAGAGGAGCATGCCACTCCCCCATGTGTGACGCATTCCCCAGGCATGTCACATCCTTCATGTGACTCTCCAACCCCTGCCCCTCTTCAGGGAAGCACACTCAATGCAAGTGGGGGGAGAGATACTATTCTAGGAATAATTTGGACTCTGAGCTAATTTGCCAAACACCCACTTTTTCTTCAGTTTGGAAACTTTAGCAGAAATAAATTATGAGCGACACCCCCCACAACTGACTGTCAGGTACTGAAGACCAGAGGAACACAAGTTCATGTCTTTTTTCTGGATAAGATGATCTCAGGGCTTGTGGCCCAGGGCAAGGGGAGCCCAGCCAGGGTGCTCAGGGTCTGTCCAGTCCTCCAATGGAAAGGGAAGGGAGGGGTGTCACCGCCTGAGCCCCTTACCTCACAGAGCCTCAAAACTGAGAGAAGGCATGAGCCCAGAAGCCTCTCGGCTCACCGCGCCTGAAAGGACCAGCGCCTCTGAGTGAGGAGGGGGCCTTGGAGGGGAGTGGGAGTTGGAAAGGCCAGAGGACTGAAGTCTGAGCTGAGGCTCAGTGAGGGAAAGTCTCTGTGCAAGGGCACCAGGCATGTGAGGGGTGGGTACAGAGTCTGAACCTGGGCCTCCCTGGTCCTGAAGCCACTGGCTGCTCTGTCCCCTCTGCCTCCCTGTATCTCTAAGTTCCTAAAAGGTTGAGACCTAATTAGTCACCTCTATCTGCCAACAGGATGCCTTCAGCAAGTGTCTGCTGAGAGAGGAGACACCTGGGTCAAGTCCCAGTTCCTTCACTTACTAGCTATGGGAGTTTTGGCAAGTTACTCAACCACTCTGTGCCTCAGTTTCTTCACCTGTACAATGGTAATAAAAATATTAGTCCTAAAATCACAGGATTGCAGTTAGAACTAAATGACCTAATATATGAGCAGAGCTTAGAATAGTGCCCAGTGCCCAGTGCCCAGTGCCCAGTATCATATTGTGAAATGGTGGGCTTCGTGATTATTATGGCCCCTCCTTGGAGGATGCCCTGGTGCAGGAAGAGGTGGGGTAAACTTACTTGCTGCCCTGGATGGGTTTGTTGTTAACTGTTTGCCACTCAGATGATCCTGCCTGCCGGGAGTAGATGTAGTAACCCAGGAGCTCTGGGCCTTCTTTCACGGGATCCCAGGTCAGGGAGATGGAGGTCTGTGTGTCTCGGAAAGCTTGAACTTTAGCTGGAGGAGGGAGAGTAGCTAAAAAACAGAAACGTGGGCTGAGTAAGGATGCTGAGTTACAGGATGGGGAAGGGTGGGGTGTGGGGAGAGGTAGGGAGGAGCCTCCACAGCAATCAAGGGTAGAACTGTGTATTCCAGATGTGCCCTGGGGCTTTGGGCAGCTCTTTTCTTGTCTCAGAGGTGTGCCCCAGACTCTTGTTTTTCAAAGGTCCTCTCCCCTCTTACCTCCAAACATCTCCACTTCCTCACTAAAGCTCCATTCATTAATCCTTACAATCCCTCTCACTTAGAAGTTACCAAATCTGCAATCTCTAGAAAAGTGTTTATATTCAGTCTCTAGAAAACTTGATTTTCTTTCCTTGAAATGTCTCTGCTGACTTTCATGGCTTCCTGAGACTAAGCTCCTTCAGGTAGGGACTGCCATGATTTGTTAAATGGGCAGATGGATGGATTGATGAATGAATGAGTGAATGGGTAGATAAATGAATAGACAAATGAATGGAAGGGTGGATGGGTGGAAAGATGGATGAACAGATGAATGGATGGATGAATAAATGGATGGATGGAGGGATGGATGGGTGGATGGATGGATGGATGGATGGATGGATGGATGGATGAATGGATGGATGGATAGATGAATGGATGGATGGATGGATGGATGGATGGATGGATGGATGGATGGATGAATAGATGGGTGGATGGATGGATGGATGGATGGATGGATGGATGGATGGATAGATGGATGGATGGATGGATGGATGGATGGATGGATGGATGGATGGATAGATGGGTGGATGGATAGATGGATGGATAGGGGGTGAATAGATGAATAGATGGGTAGATGAATGAATAGATGAATGGATGAATGAATGGATGGCAGGTACAGGAGCTTCCTTCTCTTTCTATTTTTTAAACTCCTTATATATCTTTTAGTGGCTCCCCATATTTTTTGTCCCCAAATGTGAGACTCCTGCAACTTCTGCTCCTCGACTTGCTATATTTTTCTCCTCTCATCTTAAGGGCCCATCTACTCCCATGTCTTCAACCCTCACCTTTCTGCAGGTGACTCCCAGGCTTTAACTCCAGCCCTGTCCTCTCCCAAGTTCTAGAACTCATCTTCCATTTCCCCCAGACACTTTTCCTCGTGTTCTGATGGTGCCTCAAAGCCAACAGGAAAAGGCTGAACTCAGCATCCATCCAGCATAAATCCAGTGTTTATTGAGTGCCTCCTCTGAGCCAGGCTCTACACTCGGCACAGGGGATGCACTGAGAGAAAGACTTGAAGTCCTGGGCACAGGAAAGTTCAGGCTGGAAGGAGAGAGTCAGAGACTCTATGTGCCTGAGACCTGATTCTACCCAAGGGCAAGAACTTGAGCTGAGGGTTCCATGGTAGGAAGTAGTCCTCAGACATTAAAATCATGTTGTCAAAAAGGATTTCATGACCTAAAGAAATATTTGTGATGTAATGTTAATTTTTAAAAGTAGAATGCAAAGCTCCACTTATGGTTTGATCGTATTTGCAAAAGATGCATTGATATGTATGTACTTCCAGGAGCCTCCTGTCCAGAGAAATGTGATTTCTGATGTCCTAACACTTTATAGGCCTGAGATCATGCTGCTTTTCAGCTTCATGGTAGGGAGAAGGGGTCATGAACAGGGAAGTGAGCCCGGCTCTGTCCCTGTGACCTGGGATCTGACAGCCCTGAATGCTGACAGCCCACCGGCCGGGCCTGCCCTGCCCCCATCCTTTGCACACACAGGTACCTGGCTTTCCCCTCAAGGTAATGGGTTCGCTGGGCTCTGAGGGGTCGCTCATGCCATACTGGTTCATCGCCCGCACTCTGAAGACATACGACTTCCCTTTCTCCAGGTCTAAAAGTGCAAATCTCGGGGACTTCACAGGAGCTTCCGTGCTGATGGCCTCCCAGGTGCCACTACCTATGACCGACTGTGACAAAGGAGAGGAACTTGAGTTGGATAAGCAACTGCCTGAGGCTGGTTCTGTGGGGCCACTTCCCACACAGGCTCATTAACTTTTATCAGGGCCAAGGCTGCCCCTGAACACTGAGCTTATTTTTGCAAGGCTGTAGAGTGTAAGGGTGAGATCGTGGGGGTGGGGAGGGACCCACGGAATAGGGGATCTTACTGTTGTTATTGTCTGCGTTTCTTAGTTTTGTGTATTTCCAGGAATAGCCTCAAGAACTGCCATCAGAAACTGGCCTCTCAGGGCTGGAGGAAACCTCAAAAGGCCATTTAATTCCTCCCCCTGCTCCTGTGCGGGGCCAGCAGCTCAGGAAACTCACTGCTATGCTCTGAAGGCTCCCCAGGGGCACTGCCTTGCCCAGGGCCTCTCAGCGCTTCCCTGAGCTCCCCGCAACCACCGTCCCACAGCACGTCTATTTCTCAGGCTGGCCTGGGGCTGGGGGCCGCAGGGTCTCTGTACCTTCTCCAGGGAGTAAGTCAGCGGAGCTCTGCCCCGGGGTCTGGGCTCGTCCCAGGCCAGAACCGCATAGGCCTCACGGATCTCGCTGGCATGGACATTGGTCGGGGGTGAGGGGATGGTCACGAAGTCTAGAATCAGAGTCATCCAGGGCAGAGATGAGTGGGCCCTCAGAGACCCCGAATCTCAGCCCCCCACTTCATAGAGGAGGAAACGGGGGCCCAGCGAGGGCAGGAACTTGCTCCAGGTCATACAGCAAGGCTGGGCAGAGCTGGGGCCAGACCGCATGCTTCCCACCCCCTCCAGGAGGGGCATAGCAAGACAGGCCATAGTCACCTGAGAACTCTAGCTCCTCCCACTAGACCCCTCCCCTCCCCTGCCCCCACCCTGTACATGGACAGCTTCTGTCTCTTTGCCAGTCTGTGGACCAGAGTTTCCAGAACGGTAAACGGGAATGGAGTCTTGAGGCAAAGTGTCAGGAGGTTCACACGTACCTTCCAAGTCATCTGTGCTGACCATGATCTTGTTCCCCAGATCAAAGGGGATCTCTAGGATGGAGAATGGAGCAAGTTGGGGACAAGTAGGGGTGCAGGATATGTGGGGCTGGGTCAGGAGAGTAGGGCAGGACCTGCCCTGCTCTGGGTGCTAATTCCTCCCCCCATTCCTGGCCTTGGCCTTTCGGCCCCTCATGGTGCGACCTCAGGCAGGTCCCCGCTGGCCCCAGTATTCTCAGGGATCCGAAGTGGAGCAGGCTGCTCTAGACCTTGAGTGATGCTCTATCCTCTTGGGACAGACACATGAGGACAGAGAGGAGAAGTGATGAACCTGGGGTCGAGCACCTAGGGCCCGGTGGAGCTGGGAGGCAAACCTAAGCCGGGTTGGCTCCTCAGGGCCGGGAGGGCTGTCCCCTTCCTTCCCCCAGCTGGGGGCTCCTGAGGCAGGGCTGTTTTCCCCCTTCAGATTAAGAGCAGCTGTAGAGGTGCTGTGGTCCCCCCTCAGCTTAGCATCTCCTGTGGATGGGTTTGTGTTTCTTCCACAGACTGGCCGTGCCGTCCCCTCAGGCCCGGGCTTCCTAAGAACGGCACTGTGTCTCCTCCAACAGACTAGGGGTTCCTGAGGCTGTGTCTCCTCCATCACATTAGGGCTTCCTGAGGGCTGGGCTGTGTCTCCTGCCGTGGAATAAGGCTTGGCATGGGGGCTGCGCCACCTGTCTCCTGTGCGAGTCGGTCCTGAGTGTGCCCTGACTGTTGCTCTAGGATGTCCCTTCAGGGCCTTTGCACCCACCTGTCATCCTCCGGGCTTCATCATGGTCAACCATGACCACCGGTTCTGAGGCCTTGGAGGGGAGGCTGCTGCCCGCCTTGCTGATGGCTCTCACCCGGAATCGATAGCTCTGGCCTTTGATGAGGCCTTGGATTGGGCACCGGCAGGTCCCTCCGGGGGCTTCATGGCAGGGCACCCATTGCCCAGACTTGCCCTGGCACCTGTGGGAAGAGATGCCCCAGCTTTAGCCCCTGCCCATGACTCACACCTTCTCAGTTTGAGCCTCCACCAGGGTCATTTCCCTGTCCTGGGCAGCCTGCCCAGCTTGTCTCAGCTAATTAAAGTTCCACTCTCCATTTAAAAGCCTGGCTCCAACCTCTGGCCCCCAGGAGATTGGGGGTCACCGGCCACCTCCTGTGATGGAAGCTTCCATGCCTTTCATGGAGCTTCCCATGTGCCTGGAGCTGTGCTGTGCCCTCCCCATCTATTATTTCATTTAATCCCAACAGTCCCTGGGGTCAGGTGTGATAACCTTCACTCTAGAAACTCAGACCCACAACTCAGAGAGGGAGATGACTTGCCCAAGGTCACACAGTGAGTGAATGATGGAGTTATGATTTCACCCGGGGGCTCTCCACTCCCTGTTGGTGCACATTCCAGGTTGACCCTCAGAGTGTGAGCTCTGAGCCCTCTGGGTACCACTGTCCTCAGGTCACATCATAGCACATATTACAGGCAGGATGGGGCAGTGGTCACGTGTGGGTCCAGATCCCAACTCTACCACTAAGGAGCAATGTGTCTTTGGGCAAAGTCATCATCCCATGTATCTCAGTTTCCTCAGTTTCCTCATCTATAGGATGGGGCACTGAAGAGTCCCCTGCCCCTTAGATGGGGGCTGTTGGAAGGATTCAATGATAAGGCAGGAAGCTCCAGGTACATAGTCTTCTGGCCCCATCAAGTGGCAGGATTACGTGTTGCCTCAGGCTTGGGCCTCAGCTGGCAGCACTGGAGGAGGCCTGTGTCCCGGGCCCTCCCCTCCTCGGTGGGCCCCTCCCTCTGGGGGCCACAGCTACTCCATCTCTGTCTGTCACCCAGGGCAGAAAGTATTCAACAAGAGCACATGTGCTCGAGTTTCAGGCACTTGGAGTTTTCCCCTCCCAGGGCCACTCCTGCTAGCTGGTCCAGAGGGCAGCACTGACTCCAGGGTGGAATTCCAGGTATTGGTGAACACCCTTTTATTGCCCCTAAAATGTACAACACAGATGGCCTCTTGCCCTGTTCTGAGACTAGGCATGGGGGCTCCCTCTTTCCTGTGGCCCCCATTCTTGTCCTGACAACCATGCAGAGGGCTACCCTCCCCCCCTGGGACTCTGCCACTCAAGAGGCCGACTCACTGCTCAATGGAGTAGCCGATGATGGGACTGCCCCGAGTGTCACTGGGTGGGGTCCAGGTCAGGATGAGGCAGTCTCTGTTCACATCCAGGCATAGGACATTCAGTGGGGAGCCTGGGGCCCCCAGATTCTCTGCTGCAGCATCTGAAACCCAGGGTGGAGGTGGGAGAGAGGGGGGATGTGGAGGTTCTTCCAGCCCATGCCCGCTGGGTAGCGGCTCCCTCCTACTCCCGCCCAGCATCCTCTTTTCATTAGCCACCCAGGAGCTCAGTTTTGATCTTGAAGACCAGGCCTGAATAACAGCATCCTCCTCTTGACAGCAGCATCTGGGGTGGTGGGGGTACCATTTATTAGGGCCCATTCTACACCATGCGCCTGGACAACTGGCATAATTAACCTCTGAGCCTCAGAGCAACTCTCCACTTTGTAGATGGGAAAACCAATTCCCATAGAGGAAAAGTGACTTGCCTAAGGTCACCCTGTCAACGAGGTGGCAGAGCCCTGAGGCAGAAATGAACCAGGCGCTAGACTCATACCAGCCCATGTGCAGTTGCACCCTCGCCAGCTTCCACCAAGTCTGAGACTGTGAGGTTGTGTTCTCTGGAGGGTCATCGAAGGCCACAGAGAGTCCTAGAGACTTTAACCCAACACCCCCATTTATAGCAGGGAAACTGAGGCCCCAAGGAGCAGGGGACTTGCCCAAGGTCCCACAGCAGATCAGTCAAGGGCAGAGCCCTGGTCTCTGGGCTTCAGCTGTCCCTTCTGCCCCGCCCCCAGCTTGCCTCTCACAAACACGTAGGTGCTCTGCTCCAGGGGCCCAGAGGGCGAAGGCACCCGGACCGTGTAGAACCCCTCGTCTTCTTTATAGGCGCAGGACACCTTCAGGGATGCCTGGCGGTCTGCATAGAGGATCTGCCGGCGTCCGGAAGGCCTCATGAGCTTGCCTGATGAGGAGAGGGGTCCGCTGTGAGTGGGAGCTGTGGGGGATCCTGGCCTCACCTGGGAGTCTATAGATGCTCTGGGGGTCTAGGCAGAGGCAGGGCCATTGTGGCTATAGCCTGAGGCTCAGCTGGAGAGTCAGGGAGGGCGTGGTGACCTCCAGAGCCCTGCCAAGGTGGCCACTGAACTCTCCAGAAGGCTTGGGGGTGAGGCAGGGCTCAGGGAAGGGGTTGGGACCTCAACCAGGGGAGTGGGGATTTAGGAAACAGTTGGGGTGGTGGCTCAGTGAGCAGTTGGAGGTTCTATGAAAAAGTGAAAACGAGAGATGGGGCCCCGTGCGAGGGTCAGGGGCTCTGTGAGGAGGCTAGGGACTCATCGAAGGGGCTGGGGGCTCTAGGAAGGGTGTGGGAGCTCCGTGAGGGGGATAGTGAACTGAATGAAGGGAATGAGGGCTTGTTGAGGGGGGCTTAGAAAAGCAGTGGGGCTCATTGGGAGAGCTGAGGTGTCAGTGAGGAGGGTAGAGGGCTCATTGGGGGGGGTAGGGGTCAGCGAGGAGATTGGGAACTCAGTGGGTGGGACCTGAGGGAGAGGAATGGGGGCCCCCTGAAGGGGCTCTGGGCTCAGGGAAGTGGGCCCTGCCCTGAGGCCACACTGCTGGGCCGTCCTGCTCTCTGTCCCACCCCAAGGCCCCTCCCTCCTGTCAGCATCGCTATTCTGGATGACCTGCAGCTTGGGAAAACATCTCAGACTTGTTATTGCAGCTGTTCCCCAAGGCTCCTCAAGGCTTCTCTCCTCCCCCCTCGGGGCAGGCGCAGCCTCCCTCAGCTCAGAGCTGCGGGGCTGGGCAGTTGCTGTACAGCTTGTCCTGTGGCTGCAGGCCGCGCAGATAGGGCAGGAGGTCAGCCGTGCTTTCCTCCCTGGCTGGGCCACCTCTCCTGCCTTATCTGACCAGCCTTCTCCAGCCTTGCCTGTGACACCCCCAGGGGTCTTCAGCTCATGGGTGGTAATTATGTACCAGCACCCGCACCCTGACTCTGAAAAGCCTGCCCTGAACCCCCTGGTGCCTCCTGTCCCCTGGCCTTGGCATCTGTTCCCGTTGTTTTGGATGCCACCGCTCACGCTTAGGGCTGAGCCAAGGCCTGACCATGGCAGGCTCTCAACGGGCAGTGGCTACAGTTGTGCTTTAGCTTCCTCCCTCCTCCCAGACCCAGAGCCCCTTGAGCTCATGCACATCTGTGCCTCCCCTGCCCTGGCACCCAGCACAGGGCACGGTGGTGCTCGGTGACCATTTGATCCGGACGCACCTGGCTGCCCCTGCTTCCCTCTCCCTCTTCACACCACAGCTCAGCTTGTACTAATCGGGGGAGCGGCAGAGCTGAGTTTCTCTCTCCCCTGGGGTCCCAGGGTTGGCAGTGAGCCAGGGCTCTAGTTTCTCTCTTCCACCTCTGCCTCTGGAGGCTGGGGACCAGGACTGGGGTCCTCACCGTCTTGGAACCACTGAATGTTCTGCTCCGCATCTAATATATCTTCTGAAAACAGGCAGTTCAGGGAGAAGGGCTCCTTCTCACGGGCAAAGACTGGTTTCAGCACTGATGTGAATTCCACGCTGGGGCCAAATGTGAATCCTGGGTGGGGACGGAAATTCAGGACAGAAGCCTTCAGAGGCCGCCAGCCTAGCTTGGGGCTTAGGTGGGAGCGAGGACCCTTCTGGGGGGCCCTCATCTCTGGGTCAGGAGCCACAGTTCCTGAGGAGGTCTTAACAAGGAGAGGGGCCTGGTCCTGGGGGTGGGGAGGAGATTTATCTAGATGGGACCAGATGAGCTGAAAGAGCAACTACCCAAAGGTCATGTCCATTTGTCTTTTTGGCTTTGCCTTTTCCCCTCAGTTTTGGCCACTAGGCAATTCGGCAGCTGCCTTGGGAGCCCCAGAAACCAGTCTGCACATGTTAACAGCTCGTAGGCAAACCCAACATGGACATTCCCTAGTGGGCAATGGACGGTTATATTCTAAACGGGGGCTGTGGGGAGGTCTGACCAGAAGTCCCAGAACCCCTCCTCCCAAAAGCTCGTCCCTCCCCCAGCCTCCTTACTTTTAAAGATCTCTGAGTCGAAGCCGGCATCCTTCCCCAGGTAAGCTGAAAACCAAAGCACATGGAGTTTGAGAAGGTTCAGAGCCGTGTCCCCGCTCGAAGGTGGCAGCATGGCCCTTGGGTGTGGGTTTGAATTCTGCTGTGCTAGTGGCTCCCCCTTTGGCTTTGAGAAAGTTCCTTCACCCCTCTGTGCCTCAGTTTCTACCTCGGTAAAATGGGGACTGTGATTCCTACCTGATGGTGGTGGGGTTGGGGTTCTGAACAAGTGAATTTGCACGAACAAAGCCCTCAGCCCGAGCCCGAGAGCCTGGCTCAGTAAATGGTGGTTTCCTTCCCTGCCCAACTCACCGCCAGGATCACAGTCTTCATAGAGTCTTCACAGAGGTAGAGCCTGGCCAGACTGGGGTTTCTGGTGGGGTCAGGGGAAGGGGCAGTGCTAAGGGAGCCATCTGGGGGCTTCAGAGTGAAATCCAAAGAGATGTTGGCACAGAACACGGGAGAAGAGTAAGAACGCTGCTGTTCACATAGTAAGTACCGCGTGCTGCCTGCCTGCTGGTGCCATGAAAACACTCTCCTGCAGGTGGGCAAACTGAGGTATAATCACCCAACCAGCCTGGAGCTATCGTGCAACATTGGTCCTGGGCAAGAGGTCCAAGAGGCTGCCCAAGGTCACACAGAGTCAGTGGAAGACTCAGGATTAGAACCAGAGCTCCTGCCTCCCAGTCTAAAGCCTTCCCCTAGGACCATCGCAGATGCTTTGGAGATG